CTTTATGAACCTCCCACTACAGCCTCTCACTTCTCTAAGAAGATGCCCCAGGTGCTCCCCACCTGAGTGTCCTCCCCCAGGGCAGCTGCAGGTGGCTGATCACTTCCTCCTTCAGGGCCCTACTCACATGTCAGCTTCTGTATAAAATCCCACCTCCTCATCCCTCGTCTCCCACCCACACTCTGCCCCTTCTTTCTTTCTCTGCTTTACGTCTATCTACAGCACGTATCGCTGTGTGACACGCTGTATTGGATTCACTGTAAGTTCCACAAGGACAGACTATTCCATCTGCACTGTTTCCACTGACTGCATCCCTCACACGCAGAGCATTACCCGGCACAAGTAATACACATCCAGCGCATGATTAATGAAGAACACACTTTTTGATGTCCCAGACATTTTCATGCACAGAGTGATGGTCCTTCTGTATTTTAGCCCTGTGAACCCACTTACCTTTCTCCTCCATTCCTTTGGGATCCCTGTGGACAGTCTGGCCACGGCCTTGAGAGCATCATACCACTAGGACCAGAGAGAAATATTAGAAAAGTAACAATACGGACTTTTCAGGCTTCCTCCACCTTGACATCTGTGCCGGCTATTTTTATGTCCACTTGACACAAACGAGAGTCACTGGACAGGAGGGAGCCTCCCTTGAGAAAACACCTCGGGAAGATCTGGCCATAGGCAGGTTTGTAGGGCATCTTCTTAATCAGTTATTGATGGGCCCAGCCTATGGTGGGTGGGGCCACCCCTGGGCTGGTGGTCCTGGGTTCTATAAGAAAGCAGGCTGAGCAAGCCATGGGGAGCAAGCCAGTAAGCAGCACCCCTCCATGGCCTCTGAGTCATCTCCTGCCTCCAGGTTCCTGTCCTGTCTGAGTTCCTGTCCTGACTTCCTTTGATGGTGAACTGTGGTGTGGAAGTGTAAACTGAATTAACCCCTTCCTCTCCAATTTGCTTTGCTCATGGTGTTTCGTCACAGCAATAGAAACCGTGGACTAAGACAACGTCCATAGTAATGTGAGAAAATGAACACAGCACCCTAGGACATGGGGCTTCTCTCCACCAGAAGTTGTCTTTCTGGGGATTGTTAAGGATCCTGACCCTTAACTATCCTAACTAAACACGCCTGTTGCCCCTGTGGCCCCAACAGTTGGGACAGTCTGAAACAAAAGGCCACACACACCATGAGTTAAAGATCTGTCTGTGAGCTTTTCTATTAATTCACATTTTGTGGTTTCCGAAGTGAACCTGTAACCATGTCCACATGAATTTATTCACTCTAGGTATCACTTTACAAAAAAATGTGAAGTTTTTCATTGCAAGTATAAACCCAGGTCCCTTATGCTTTCAAAGTTATTTTATCACAAACTGGAGGAAACTGACATCTCTTGTGTATCCAAATATATGTGAATATTTTCATTTTAAGGATATATGACAATGTGTCCTGCTGGTATTCCCAAATTAAAAAAAAAAAATGCCTTAAAAGCCAAAAGCAAAGTTACCTGCTGAAAACCATTTTGGCCTAAAGATGGCTCAAGTGTGAACTTCAATTTTGTATCAACTCCTAGAAGAAAATTAAGTAGTTGTTATTTATGGAAATTGTAACAAAATTATACCATATATCAATTCAACACTTGGTCCTACTGAATTGTGTTTTAAAAAATTAAGTGTTTTTTTTACTGAATTTTAGCCAATTTCATTAAAATTAAAATACATTGATTTTAATTTTGTAAAAATGACCTAAGACAATAAAATGGACTTTAAAACATTGGATAGTAGCCTCCACAGATGCCTAGAGTAATGTAAAAATAAAGCCAGTAACTGGCATCACAGGCTAGAGCCACAGACCTCCATTATCTTTGGGTCCTAAACTCAAACTCCTTAGCCTGTCTGGACCTCAATCCCCTTATCGCTGAAGGGAGGATAGCACCTTCCACTCAGAGGACCGTCGCCATGACTGACTGTCAATCTCCTCACCTGGGTCATTAGCAGTTATAAAACACAGAGGGGCGATTCTCCACTTACAGAGGGTGTTTTTCTGCCACACTTACATATACTAAGACAGTTAAAGAAACTTCAAGGGCTGGAGTCAAGGCTTGGCAGTACATCAACTGTCTAGTGTGTGTGAGACCTTGGGTTCCATTTCCAACACAAG